GCACTCACCTTCATGGTCGGTGGGGCGGTGAGGGGGGGGGACAGCGGCCGCTCTGGGACGGTCACATCCGCGCTGTTCAGCAGCTCCTGTTTCCTGGAAAACCAAACACAGGCGTGTCAGCGTCCCCCGTGCCCCGAGCCGGAGCGCGAGGAGGGAGATAAGGGCTTATCTTCTTGGGCAAAGCCGCGGGCGCGCGGGCTGAGGGTAAAACAATGTCTTGGATCGGAGACAGAAACAAACAGCATAAAAAGATGATAAAAGTCATCTGTGGAGCCACACGCCCCGTGCGGGCCAGGACCCTTCGCTGCACCGCCGTGTGCCCCGGCTCCATCTCCGGGAGCCCGCCAGAGCCCGGCTGCAGGGTCAGGGTGCAGTGCTGGCGGTGCTGTGCCTGCCGGCGGAGCGGGGACAGCAGAGATGGGTTTCTATGACAACCCATCCCCATGGTTTCCCTCCATCTGGCACCCTCTCCCCGGGCAGGATCCGTGGCCCGTTGGCCTCCCGGCAGGTCTCGACAGCGGAGGAGGCTTCTGGTTCTATTGATGCCGGCGTAAAACCCAGGTACACCCTGGCACAGGTTTGGCAGAGCCCGACCAAGGGCACCTCCGCCACGGGGCACCTGAGTGCTGAATTCGGAGGCAGCGAGAGGTGTTGCGAGGACACGAGACCCCAGGGAAGTCGGGAGCAGCCCCAGTGCCATGGCCACAAAAGCATCACAGAAAAGCCCTTCAGCCTCGAAAAGGCACAACCTCAGCCCCCTCCTGATCATCTGAATAAAACACCCTGTCCCTCTCACACCGGCGGCTCCCCAGGCAGCCAACCAAGCCGCCACTTGCCGCGGCACTGCCAGATGCTACTCTGGGAGTCAGAAAAGCTGAGATTCAATTTAGTTTCCTCTCGTCCCTGCCAGGTTAGTCCTGCAGAAACTGGGCCAAAATGTCCAACTGTTTATCTCGCAGTAACGAGGTTTGGTTCCCATGGCAGCCCGCCCCGGGATGGCACGGCACAGCACGGCACGGCGGGCACAGCAGCCGGGCACCGATGCCCACCGGGGCCCCCTCCGAAACACGCAGCTCCTGCCGGAGGGTGTGCACCCGACCCCCTGCAGCGCCTGCCCTCGCCG